ACCAAGATAAATCTAACATTTTTTTAGGGGGTACCATTGAGAGTAGGGTGCCTTATATCTTGCAAAGAGTGGGATTCCAACAAGGATCTTTTCCTGTTAGATACTTGGGTATTCCACTTGCTCCTTTGAGTATTTCTGTAGCCCAATTTGCACCCCTGATTGAGAAGGTCACTGATTATTTGTTTGCTTGGAACTCTAAAACTATATCTTATGCAGGTAAAGTTGAACTGATTAAATCTGTTATTCAAGGTGTCCATTCCTTTTGGCTAGGAATCTTTCCTATGCCGAGGACAGTCTTGGATAGGATCACTACCTTGTGTAGGAATTTCCTTTGGGGTGGGAAGCATGCTAAAGTAGCTTGGAGTGATGTGTGTCTCCCAATGGAGGAGGGAGGTTTGGGCATTAGGGATACCAAAGTGTGGAACTATGCCCTACTTTCTCGAATCCTTTGGAATGTCCACTCCAAGCAAGACTCCCTATGGGTCAAATGGGTTCATGGGGTGTACCTTCATGGGAGAGATGTGTGGACTTTTGATCCACACACAAAGGACTCTCGGCTTATGAAGTCCTTGGTGACTATAAGAGATCAAATTGTGTCCAAATTCCCTTCAAAGGAGGAGGCCATTTCCTATCTAGATAAGTGCTCCCAAGGTGGAAAACTGTCTTCATATAAATTTTATGACTTGCTTAGAAGTAAGAACAATGCCCAGCCGTGGATGCCTTTTATATGGAAAAGTTATATTCCCCCCAAGTTTTCTTTCATTACTTGGTTAGCTTTCCGGGGGAGACTAGCCACATATGACAACCTGGGGTATTTAAATATTGTTAACACATGCCATTTTTGTAAGGGTGGACCGGAGACGGTATCACACCTATTTTTTGAGTGTCCATTTACAGGTCAGGTATGGAGATTGGTACGTGAATGGCTTGGATTGTTTAGGCAGATGAATACGCTTCTAAGTGCAGTCAAATGGATGAAAAAGAAGCATAATGGAGCGCATGTCAAAGCCAAAGCCGTGAGACTATCTTTTTGCTACACTATCTATTGGATATGGCGTGTGAGGAACATGATTTGTTTTGAAGGGACCACTACAACGGTCATTGATATGGTCAAGAGGATCAAGTTTATGGTGTATAAAATCCTCTATTATATGTACCCCTTGGACAGAATTACATTCTGATTTTGACAATCCTTTTTTGCTGTTTTGTCACCTTTTTGTGATAGCTAGCATTTATATGTAGCTAGAAGCTAGAAGCTTGAGGCTGTTTTGGGCTGAGGTATCCTTGCTTGGGATGACCCATATGATTTGTTTTGTACTGTACAGCTGTACATAAACACTTTTGGATATATATATTTACAGTTTATCCAAAAAATAGAACTCGGTAAGATCTTTCCAAAGAGATATTAAACGATTTCAACGGCACATATTAGAGCAAGATACGATCGCATCAAATTCTACACGAGTTCGGAGTGAAATCAGAAACATTTGTGAATATATGGTTAATCTGTAACTTTTAATTAATGCATTTTAAATGAAGTTGGAACAATAGCTTTAGAGATCCGATCTATCTTTCCAACGAGATATAATAAGCTCCAAACGGATCAACACACAGCAAGATATGAGTGTCACTAATACTTAGCCTTATCTCTATGATTTAGCGTTTTCAACGAAAATAGAGCACTTTGAGCGTAAATACAGTGTATTTTAGTAATTAGGCAATCATCCCTTGATATTTTGAAATCGGCGCCTGAAGAAGAGTTTTAGAACTCGGTAAGATCTTTCCAACGAGATATTAAACGCTTTCAACAGCACAAAATAGAGCAAGATATGATCGCATCAAATTCTACACGAGTTCGGAGTGAAATCAGAAACATTTGTGAATGTATGGTTAATCTGTAACTTTTAACTAATGCATTGTAAATGATGTTGGAACAATAGCTTTAGAGATCCGATCTATATTTCCAACGAGATATAATACTCTCCAAACGGATAAATACACAGCAAGATATGTGTGTCACAAATACATAGCCTTATCTCTAAGATTTAGCGTTTTCAGCGAAAATAGAGCACATTTAGCGTAAATACAGTGTATTTTAGTAATTACGCAGACATCAATTGATATTTTGAAACCAACGCCTGAAGACATGTTTTAGAACTCGGTAAGATCTTTCCAACGAGATATTAAACGCTTTCAACGGCACAAAATAGAGGAAGATATGATCGTATCAAATTCTACACGAGTTCGGAGTGAAATCAGAAACATTTGTGAATATATCGTTAATCTTTAAACTTTAATTAATGCATTGTAAATGAAGTTGGAACAATAGCTTTAGGTTGTTTTTACTTGGAGTATAATTCGTCCCAGACCAGACCAGACCAGAACAGACCAAACCAGACCAAACCAGATCAGACCAGACTAAAACAGACCACACCAGACCAGACCGTATTTTATTATTATTATTATTATTATTATTATTATTATTATTATTATTATTATTATTATTGCTATTATTATTGTTATTATTATTGTTATTATTATTGTTATTATTATTATTATTATTATTATTATTATTTTTATTATTATTATTATGATTATGATTATGATTATGATTATTATGATTATGATTATTATTATTATTATGATTATTATTATTATTATTATTATTATTATTATTATTGTTATTATAATTATAATTATAATAATAATAATAATAATAATAATTATTATTATTATTATTATTATTATTATTATTATTCTTATTATTATTATTATTATGATTATGATTATTATTATTATTAATATGATTATGATTATGATTATGATTATTATTATTATTATTATTATTATTATTATTATTATATATATATATATATATATATATATATAATATTTACGCAAAAAATACAAAAAATAAAATTTCAGACCAGACCAGACCAGACTAGACCAAAACAGTCCACACGAAAACAAACCAGACCAGACCAGACCAACAAATTACGGTCCAAGTAAAAACATCTTTAGAGCTCCAATCTATCTTTCCAACGAGATATAATACGCTCCAAATGGATAAACACACAGCAAGATATGAGTGTCACAAATACTTTGCCTTATCTCTATGATTTAGCGTTTTCAGCAAAAATAGAGCACTTTTAGCGAAAATACAGTGTATTTTAGTAATTAGGCAATCATCCCTTGATATTTTGAAACCAGCGCCTGAAGACAAGTTTTAGAAATCGGTAAGATCTTTCAAACGAGATATTAAACGCTTTCAACGGCACAAAATAAAGCAAGATATGATCGCATCAAATTCTACACGAGTTTGGAGTGAAATCAGAAACATTTGTGAATATATGGTTAATATGTAACTTTTAATTAATACATTGTAAATGAAGTTGGAACAATAAATTTAGAGATCCGATCTATCCTTCCAACAAGATATAAGATGCTCCAAACGGATAAACACACAGCAAGATATGAGTGTCACAAATACTTAGCCTTATCTCTATGATTTAGCGTTTTCAGCGAAAATAGAGCACTTTTAGCGTAAATACAGTGTATTTTAGTAAGTAGGCAATCATCCCTTGATATTCTGAAACCAGCGCCTGAAGATAAGTTTTAGAAATCGGTAAGATCTTTCCAACGAGATATTAAACGCTTTCAACGGAAAACATTAGAGCAAGATATGATCGCATCAAATTCTACACGAGTTCGGAGTGAAATCAAAAACATTTGTGAATATATGGTTAATATGTAACTTTTAATTAATGCATTGTAAATGAAGTTGGAACAATAAATTTAGAGATCCGATCTATCCTTCCAACAAGAAATAATACGCTCCAAACGGATAAACACACAGCAAGATATGAGTGTCACAAATACTTAGCCTTATCTCTATGATTTAGCGTTTTCAGCGAAAATAGAGCACTTTTAGCGTAAATACAGTGTATTTTAGTAATTTGGCAATCATCCCTTGATATTTTGAAACCAGCGCCTGAAGACAAGTTTTAGAACTCGGTAAGATCTTTCCAACGAGATATTAAACGCTTTCAACGGCACAAAATAGAGCAAGATATGATTGCATCAAATTCTACACGAGTTCGGAGTGAAATCAGAAACATTTGTACATATATGGTTAATCTGTAACTTTTAATTAATGAATTGTAAATGAATTTGCAACAATAGCTTTCGAGTTCCGATCTATCTTTCCAACGAGATATAATACGCTCCAAACGGATAAACACACAGCAAGATATGAGTGTCACAAATACCTAGCCTTATCTCTATGATTTAGCGTTTTCAGCGAAAATAGAGCACTTTTAGCGTAAATACAGTGTATTTTAGTAATTAGTCAATCATCCCTTGATATTTTGAAACCAGCGCCTGAAGCGCCTGAAAGGGACGTGGAAGGGAAAAAAGTTGAGAGCTTCTCTCTCCTCGGAAAATTTTTCCCAGCTCTTTTGCGCGTACGAAGGCTGGTTCTCTGATGATTCGTGGGGTTTAATCAGGTGGTGATTCTTGCTATTCTTGGTCAGGGGTCTTTACTAATACCATCGTCCAGACTTGGATTTGGTTTTAGAAGGATTACGAGGGCCAAAAAAATCGCAGAAACGAGGGTTTGAGCGCAGATTCACTGTTCACGACGGCGGTGATTTGTGGTTTGTTTTTGGGTGTTTCTGTTGGGAACTTCATCTGATTACAGTTCCGTGCTCGCCTCTGTATTTAGACGTTAATCTACGGCCATTCCATGACTTTTTGGTTCTTTTTATTAGCATAATTTTTTGGAGCTCTGTTTCGTTTGAACTGCTGAGTCGTTTGGTTGTAGGTTCTGTTTAAGTTTGGGTTTCGAGTGTGGACTGTATCCCATATGGTTTGCTTTTGATTTTCCGAATTTCATAGTCAGGACCTACGATCTGGTTTCTTTTTGGAATTTTACGGTCATGTCTGGAAAAAAATCACAGGTTATTGGGGAAGCTACCAAGCCAAGGACCACCAGGGCAAGTTTCACAGTCCTGCAGGATTCTGATGCTGAATTCCCTGCCCTGCTGCCAGGACTCTCACTGAAGAAGACAAAAAAGGCAAATGCTGATGGAAAAAATGTTGCTGCTATTGAACTCCCACCTCCTGGGAAGGTTATACAATCTGGACAGAGAGCAATGACAATGGTTTTGGACCCAAACGCAGATGCTGCACAAAGTGGGGTTGTGACCAATGCTGAAATCAGGCCTGAAGGAATTACTGCTGGGGCAGTAAAGACTGGGGCAGTGGTTGTAGCACCTGCTGCTAAGGATACTGCTGCAGCAGTAAATGTAGGGGCTAAGACTACAAATCCCGAACCTTGGAGTGCTCTTTTTAAGGATAATCGGGACCCATCACATGGTATCAAACTGAGATACGTTCCTCCCAAAGGAGCAACTTTGGACTTTGGTGATCGCATTTTACCTTCCATGGTTGAAATGTGGGGTTTTTTCCTAGTAGGGCACCTTACTGGGAAATTCCCCGGACTCAAAGCAGTTCATGATCTTAGAGCTAAATGGGGTGTGAAATGTTTTGTGAAATCCCACAATAAGGGATGGGTAATCTTTAAATTCACAAATGAGGAGGATAGAATGAAAGTTCTTCATGATGGTCCTTACATGGTCTTTGGGAAACTCCTTATGCTCAAAGAACTTTCGGAAGACTTTTCTTTTGAAGATGAAGAGTTCCTCAAAGTGCCGATTTGGGTCAAATTCCCCAAACTACCAATGAAGCTATGGAACGATGAAGCTATGAGTGAGGTGGCATCCATGGTTGGAGTCCCCATAACTACGGACAAGATCACTAAAGAGAGGATGGATAATGAATATGCTAGAGTGCTTATCGAGGTTGATGTTTCAAAGCCACCGACACTCTCTTTTCCTATACGACTACCTTCAAAAAAGGTATTCAATCAAAGTGTGCTTTACGAAACTTTTCCTAATTATTGTTTTCATTGCAAAGAATTTGGGCATCACCCATTTATTTGCAACAAGATATCCAATTGTGGTGAGGGGGGAAGGAGGGGAAAGGATAAACAGGTTGTTGCTGTTGAGGAAATTGATGAAGTTGGGCTAACTTCTATCCGGGCAGAATCTGCCCTTCCAGCCTCGGAAGCTACTGCCATGCCGGCTTTGGAGCTTGCTGCCACTCCGAAGTTTGATGCCATATCTGAAATTCAGGGACCTACTGTTGACGTTGTTACATTAGATGAACCTGCTTTGATTCAAGCTGCTGCACCAGCTAATAATGATGCTGCCACGGCTATAACAAATGGTGTCGAAGCTTTAGGAAGGTTTGTGAGCAAGGAAAGTGAGTTGAAAAAAGATGATGTTGTCATTAAGTGTGAGATCATAGATGGTAAGACGTTTAAGTTGTTTGTCAAGCCGTTTAAAAACGTCCAAGCTAGTGTCACTAGAGTGGATAGATTTCTAAGGCTTACGGCTGATTTGGATAAGAGAGGCCTTACGTTCTCTGATCATTGTCTTGAGAAGTTTCCGGGGTTTACTATGAAGAAAGGGGAGGTTGACTTTGCCGCAAAGTTTACTAATCCTTTCCATGACTTCTTTGGATGTTAAACTAGGGACTTTTTTGGTGAACTAGTTTTGTTGATTTTATTTGTTCCTAATCGGTTTTAGGTTCTGTTTGTTTGAATTTTGATGATCTCCATCTTGATGTTGTGGTATTCCTTTTTTCGGGATATGCACTTTTCTTGTAACATTGACTTGTTATTTCTTTGGGTGTTAATATATACTTACATTTCATCCAAAAATATTGAAACCAGCGCCTGAAGACAAGTTTTAGAACTCGGTAAGATTGAAAAGAAGGAAAAGGAGGACAAGGCAAAAGAGAAAGAAGTACGCAAAGATGGTAATGGGAGTGAGGAGACTTCACATGCCGCGGCAAAGGGAGTAGAGGAGGAAGTGGCAAAGGGAGATGTATATGCCGCGGCAAAGGGCAAAAACAAGATGGTAGAAGAGGAAGTAAATGAGAGCAACAAAGCCGAGACATCTAACAAAGGGAAAGGGAAGATTGTTCACCCCTTCCTTAAGCAAAGAAGATTGAATAAAGTGGACCAAAGAAACAAGAGCATAAAGCAAGCAAAGGCCAAAGCAATGGAGGCTACCGGGGAAGGAAATCAATCAAGTGAGGAGGAGGAGGAGGTGGATCCGAGAGTTATCAAAGGCTTTGATAATATCTTTAATGATGAGGTTATCACTCAAATGGAGACGGAGGAGGCGAGGGAACCAAAATATGAAGTCAAACACATTGATGAGGTAAAAGAACCCATGGTCGGAATTGACCATTTACTAAGGGAGGTCAAAGACAATGAACCCGGGGTTTGGTTCACAAAAGAGTGTTTTGAAGGGCTGCCCGGAGTGGTAAAGAGGAAAAAGGGCTATGCTTTTGAGGATATCTTTATGACATGCGTGTATAGACACTACCTTGATAGGTACTATGAAGATGGGCACCTAATGGGGAATGGAAACAAGGTCAAGGATTTGAGGAAGTTTAAGGGCAAAAGGGACCGGGTTGTACATGATATCCGAGAGGCATACATGGATGATGTTATTACAAAGATAGAATATGACAAGGAAGGAAGAGTTAGCATCCATGTCATGCATGCCGAGGATGTCAAAGAACAAATGACGAGGCTTGACAACTACCTCTCTATTGATTGGAACAACACAAGAAGGGGGATCATCTTCACCACTTCTTGCCTCCAAAGCCTTCCCGGAGTAAAAAAAGTGGAGGACGGGTATGAATTCTCTCCTTTCTTTATGACAACCATTTATCAACTTTTTCTTGATAGGTACAATGGGTGCGAAGAGTACCGCCAATGGAAGAATAATGAAAGAGAGAAAGTGAGGAGAAACCGAAGGAGGGGAGGCCCGACCAACAAATAATTTTTTATGTTTTTAGCATCTTGGAATATTAGAGGGCTTAACCAAGCCTCAAAACAAAATTCTATAGCTAACTTTGCAAAAATAAATAAGGTACGCATCTTTTGCTTATTAGAAACTAAAATGTCTACTACATCTTTTGATAGCTTCTTAAAGTTTAGATTTAACTCGTGGTTGCATATTACTAATTTTGATTGCATGAGTGGTGGGCGTATGGCCATCATTTGGGACCCAAATTTTGTGGAGGGGGCTGTTTTACAAGTTGATAAACAACACATTCATATGAAATTCACATGTAGGGTCACGCAATTACAATTTTATTCTACTTTCATATATGCATTGTATACAATCATACAAAGGAGGGAATTGTGGGAGCATATTTCTGTTCTTAGCTCTAATATCCTCGCTCCATGGGTTGTGGTGGGGGACTTTAATTGTGTTGGGTCACCAAATGAAAGAAGGGGGTCTGCCCCCCCATTGGCTTATGCTATGAAAGATTTGAATGATATGAAAATGAATGCTAGCTTAATGGATGCTCCCTCAACCGGTGAATTTTTTACTTGGCATAGGGGTGCAATTTGGGCAAAATTGGATAGGGTCCTTATCAATCCTTTTTGGAATATGCAAAATGTGACATGTAAGGCTCATTTCCATGAGATGGAGTGTGAGTTTGATCATGTTGCATCCCTTGTAAACATTGGGGCCGTGACAAATGGAGGGTCAAAACCTTTCAAGTTTTTTAATATGTGGCTAAAACATGACCATTTTCAAAACATTTTGGAAAGAGTTTGGGATAGGAATGTTGTTGGAACTGCTCAATTTAGGCTTGCCCGTAAGTTGAAGTTTCTCAAACAACCCCTTAAACAACTCAATAGGGAGGAATTTAGTTGCATTTCGGCCAGGGCAAAGGAATCCAAAAAGGAATACAAGAGAATCTATCAATTAGCTCTCTTGTCCCCTTTGGATGATGCCCTAAAAGTAGAAATGGATGTTGCAAAAAAAAGAGCACTTTTTTTGAAAGAAGCCGAGGAAGCCTATTTAAAACAAAAGGCAAAGGCTGTCCACATTTTGCAATCTGATAAGTGTACTAAATACTTTCATTCCATTGTAAAAAATAAGAATGCCCAAAACTCTATTGCCTCCATTAGATTACAAGATGGAAGTCTTACTACATCTGTGGATCAAGTGGCAAATGAGTTCATAGCTTTCTTCAAAAATCTTTTTGGGACTTGGGTGCCATTTGAAGGGTATGACCCTGGGGTTCTCCAATCTGGAAAGATACTTGATCAAACACTTGTTGGTAACCTTACCAGCCCTGTGACTGATTTGGAAATCAAGCAAGCCTTGTTTGATATTGGAGATGACAAAGCCCCTGGTCCAGATGGGTTTTCATCAGCTTTTTTCAAGATTAATTGGAATAGGGTTGGTGAAGATGTTTGTAATGCTGTGAGGGAATTTTTTGAAACTGGGACCATGCTTAAACAGGTTAATCATACTGTGGTGGCACTTATCCCAAAGACAAACCATTCCCCCACTGTTTCGGATTTTAGGCTTATATCTTGTACCAATGTCACATACAAAATCATTACTAAAATTCTGGCTGGCAGACTTGGACCTCTTCTTTCTAGTATTATAAACCCTTCACAAGGAGCTTTTGTTGATGGGAGACTGATGTCTGACAACATCTTTCTGGCACAAGAGTTAGTGAGGGGTTATACTAGAAAAAGGCCCTCCCCTCGCTGCATGATTAAGGTTGATATTAGGAAGGCCTATGATACTGTGTCTTGGGATTTCTTGAACAAGGTGTTAGTAGACATAGGTTTACCTGATTTGTTTGTTAGATGGATTATGGAATGTGTTTCCACTTCATCTTTCTCTATTTCTATCAATGGATCTCTCCATGGATGGTTTGAAGGGAAGAGAGGACTTAGACAAGGTGACCCAATGTCTCCCTTGTTATTTGTCATTTGCTTAGAATACTTCTCGAGGATGATAGAAGCTAGGACTTTAGATCCTAGTTTCCGTTATCATCCTTTATGCTCTAAGCTCAAAATCACACACTTAGCTTTTGCAGATGATTTGATGCTTTTCTCTAAAGGAAACTTCTCCTCTATTAAGATCCTAGTAGATGCATTGACTGACTATGGGAAGGTTTCGGGGCTTATAGTTAACCAAGATAAATCTAACATTTTTTTAGGGGGTACCATTGAGAGTAGGGTGCCTTATATCTTGCAAAGAGTGGGATTCCAACAAGGATCTTTTCCTGTTAGATACTTGGGTATTCCACTTGCTCCTTTGAGTATTTCTGTAGCCCAATTTGCACCCCTGATTGAGAAGGTCACTGATTATTTGTTTGCTTGGAACTCTAAAACTATATCTTATGCAGGTAAAGTTGAACTGATTAAATCTGTTATTCAAGGTGTCCATTCCTTTTGGCTAGGAATCT